TATTCGACGCGCTCTATAGGAAAACACCCAATTTTCCAAGAACAGATCGGATCTTAATCAACTTATTTTCCACGCGGGCAGATTTGGCTGAGAGTTGGATTCTAGAGGTAATTCGACCTCCTGAACACGAACATCACACCCACTTGGCCTGACCTAGGGTATTTCAGCGCCAGCGCCAAAATACCCTAGGTCACTAAATCCGCTGAAAACTTGTATAAGAAGACCATTTAACATCTTGATTGCATATATCACATTCATTTTTGGCGCTGGCGCTGATGGAAGACGCTGTGATTGTCTGCGCTCTGGTATGGCTGGCCTGACCTAAAGGAAAACACTCTTTCTCACACGCTCAGCCCTAGAAAGTGTTAAATGACGCTGGAGTGAATGTCCCATACCATGCAAATTCACACCGAATTTGGTGGGAAAGGTGGCGGCGCCAAACTGGCGCCAATTGGGCGCCAGCGCCCAAAACGAGTGCTATATTCGTGATTAGGACACCTGAACTATCTCTGTGGGCGAGGTTTCACCAAAAGAAAATTTTTTGACTTTTTGGGGTAGTAATAGTTGAATAGTGCCATTTTATGGTTTTCGCGTTTCCAGCAACAATAGTTGAGCCTGATTTCAACTTCACCGCATTCGAACTTCTGGTTACAAGGACGATTGGTGCTCTGATTACCAGTGGAATAAGATTAGACTATAGCATAGGAAAAAATCATGGAAACCTTAGTTTCTGAACAGAACGAAAACTGCCCTTCTTCCTCCCAGCTTAATGAGAATTTCAATTTTTTTGACAGAAAAAGGTCTGCTTTTTCCCAACAATAGTTTAGTTCGACTTCCTGCAGTGCATTATACCCTGAAATAGTTCACGCTTCTGTTACAGCAGCGCAAAGCATATGTCGGCAAATCGGCTACGACCGCTTTTTTCAGGTAACGCGCGTCAAATATGGTGCGAGTCCGTGGTCGACTATTGCAATGCACTGAACCTCACGCCTAAATTCTTTTGTGAGCCACTTGCGCCCTACTGAATAATCGTTATTGTTAAGCATAACAGCTCTGCCAGCCAAGGCTCTGGAGGAGATATTATAATAATGCGTGATAAAATTCAGAGCATAACCTCATTCCCACAGAGCAGCAAGGCTTTGTTAGCGGTGCTTCTACAAGTACTCTTGAGGCAGCTGTATTTGATTGAAATCTCGCTATTAATGAAAGAAAGGGCGTGGACATAATCTGTTTCGATTTGTCCAAAGCTTATATAGTGAGTCATGAAAAGCTCCTTCATAAATCGTGGCAGTTAGGAACCGAAGGCCCATCCTAACTGGATCTGTTCCTATCTGAAAGATAGGCACATGTATGTCAAAGTTGGTAATAGTTTCTCGCGAAGTTTCCGACTGCTGTAGCGGAGTTCCACAAAGAGGTGTGTTCTCTGTTTCTGGCGTGCACCTTTGACTTGAACGCTTACGTCAATGCTCATCCTTTCGTCAAGGTTCAACTATACGCTGACGAGATTAAAGTTTATGGTGTTTATAATAACCAGTATTGTCACAACCACGTTTTCTGCAATAATACTGGCAAGTATGACAGGAGAGTACCAACTGTTGTATTAAGCAACCGTCAAGTTCAGAGATCTTCGCCATGATTTTGTCTTCTACTTCGTTACATAGATAGTCCATTAACGGAATTTATATATGAAAACAGTAGTAATACATACGACTTCCTGACGCCATGTAAGAAGTATTCGCTAGCTTTGAGACCCAAACTCTTTTAAGTGAGAAACAACGCAAATATACTGATGGATGCAGAACCTCCTACTGCTTACACATTCATTGCGTTTACAAACGTGGAAATTTGCGCTGCAAATTTCACAGACATATTTGCTGTGCTCGTGATCTGCCGTGCCTCTTTAGATTTGCTGCTCTATTATAAACACTGCCAAGTGTGAAGTGGTTTATGATAGATAAGTTTGGCTGTCGTGCACCAATGCGCGCAACGGTTAACATGGTACTGATCACTGTCAGGATTACTGTGTTGCCCACTAACACTTGGCTTAATTCCCATGTTTCGAAATACGGCCGATTGTATTGCATTTCTCTTTTTTAATGAACATTTGCCAGTGTCGGCTGCTTATCAAAATCTGAGAACACCCACCATTTGTTGGAAATAGGACAGCCTAGCGGTTGAAAGAGATTCGATGGTAACATA